GGACCCTGGGATCATGACCTGAGCCAAAGGCAGACGCTTAATGACTGAGCCACCCAGTTGCCCCATAATTGACTATAGTTTTCCACATTCTCTAGTCTGATATCCTATTGTTTGCAGCCTTGATTGAGAGTTTTAATTTGATAATATTTTTCATCGTTGTAAACATTTTCTTGTTCTCAAAGAATCCCATTTTCCCCACAGGCAAGAAACTTTACGACTGTGCTGCATGTGGGAAGAGCTTCAGTCGGAGCACAGATCCTCGCTATCATCAGAGAATTCACACCGGAGAGAAACCTTTCATATGTGATACATGTGACAAAGCCTTTAGTTATAACACAAACCTTCATGTTCATCAGAGAGTCCACACAGGAGAGAAACCTTTTAAGTGTGAGGAGTGTGGCAAGGGCTTCAATCAGAGCTCCAATCTTCACATCCATAAGAAAGTGCACACCGGAGAGAAACCTTTCATATGTGATACATGTAGCAAAGCCTTTAGTTATAACACAAACCTTCGTGTTCATCAGAGAGTCCACACAGGAGAAAAACCTTTTAAGTGTGGGGAGTGTGTCAAGGGCTTCCATCAGAGCTCCAATCTTCGCATCCATAAGAAAGTCCACACCGGAGAGAAACTCTACAAATGTGGTAAGTGTGGTAAGGACTTCAGTCAGAACAGAGATCTCCAAGTGCATCGGAGACTCCACACAAGAGAAACTGTTTAAATGTGAAACTCTGAAAACATAGACTTAATGCTTGTCTGAAAGTCCACACAGGAAAGAAATGCTACAAGTGTGTGTGGTAAGTGCTTCTTCAGTCAGAGCATTGATCTCCAAGTTTACCAAAAAATTCACACAGAGAAACCATTAAATATGATAGATGTGGTAAGGGTTTCAGTTACAACATGAACCTTTATGTTCATGAGAGAGACCACAGGGTCTCACAGGGGTAGAAACCTTGTGTACATGAGAAGTGAGCTCAAGTCTTCACATTCATCAGATCCCTTGTGGGAGAAATACCCTACACATGTGGTCACAACTTCTGCTAGAGTGCATCTCTCCTCCTTTTACCAGAGTCTTTTTCTCTGACAACTCCAAGTTCCATGAGAGTCCAGTTATGCATTCTTTGCTCTCCATTTTGTCCCCAGCTCCTGGCACACTGCCTGGTACAAGTAGCCATTCACGAAGTATTTGTTGAATGCAAATCCACATAAAAACCCCTGTAAGTGTGATGTGTGGTGAAGACTTCAAAGTCCACACATTGAAACCTTTTTAAAAAATGCTGCATGGTAAACATTTCGGTCAGATCATGGTTTTCATCATTAGTTAATCCCTGTAAGAGAGAAGTCCTGTTAACCTGATGAATATACTAATGGACTTGAGATAAATATTCAAGTTAAATCAGTGTAGTAAATTTAAAAATATATACCTTCAACATAAGAATTCTCATCCCTAACCTCGCAATTGTAAAAATACATGTTTTAACATAGGAGTTTTGACAAAAGTATCTGCTGTATTATTCAGGAAAAAAATTCTGTGAAATGACATTTTGTGTCAGGCTCTGCACTGTCTCCACAGAAGGTTCATTCCATCTCAAAGAGGCTTCTGTTAGATAAAACCAATGAGTTACCCAGCAGGGTAAGGTCTTCCTCCTGGGAAAGACAGATAAGGTCTTCCTCCTGGGAAAGACACCCCTTACCTGGCAAAGGCCCTTCTAGGCTGAAAGCCTCCTGGCCCTAATTGAGCATCTCCCCATCCAGCATGTCTCCAGGCTGCTGGATGCCTGCAGCATGGATTGTAGAAATCTCCAGGTAAGGCATCTTCAGGGTATATGTCTCTAGAAGGGACAGCTAAAGAAAAGGGCTGCAGCAGGGTTTATGGAAGGGAGTTAGAGGAGAGGAAAACAAGTCTGAAAGGGAATAATTAGAGGGAAAAGGAAGAGAACAGTGCCTAGAAAGGAGGTTGTGGGATAGTGGGGGAGGAAAGCCCAGAGGCTTCTCCAAAGTCTCTAGCAAGTATGGTGACCCCCAATACAGGGCTGTCCCTGGAATTCTGAGCTGAGCAAAGAGTGGTCTGTAGTGGGTAGATCTTGACCCCATCAGCATTAGGGCCAGTTGGGACCAGAGGTGGAAGAGCTGCTGTGAGGGGCCTTGGAAGGCAACTCCATGCCCCAATTTCCCCAGGTGGCCCAAGTCAGGCATGGCAGGACCATTATCCCTCAATGGGAGGAAGGATCATATAGGAAGGCAGCAATAAGGCTGATTCTTTTCAGGAGGCATAAATTAATCAGAGACAGAGCCTGGCAATGAAGAGGGAAGACCTGGACCAGTGGAGGTTAGGAAGAGGTCAAGGACCCAGTTTCATCACTAAATGTGGGTAGGGAAGAGAGATGCTTTGTCTGAATCCTTCACCTAGGAGCAGTATGTTCTATGTGCCCCCTAAGCAGCCATTTCAAGGGGAAGGATATCTACAATTAGAAAGGCTTTGGGGCTCTAGGAGGACTGTCAGCTGAGCAGTCCAGAGACCATCGGCTCACGTTAGGAGAAGGGGTTGATATGCTGGAGGGTTTTAATGGCAATTGGTGTAGGAGAGGCACTCAAATATCATTGAATGAAGGTATTAATAAAATTCTAATAACTCACATTTTATATTAGTTTCTTTTCCTTCCCTTTTTTAGATTTAAAAAATATTTTAAGTATAAAATATATCAGGCATACAGAAAAGTTCAGAAAATATGACTGGGCGCCTGGGTGGCTCAGTTGGTTAAGCGACTGCCTTCAGCTCAGGTCATGATCCTGGAGTCCCGGGATCGAGTCCCGCATCGGGC